TGAAGAAAGTTTTCAGCGGCATTCAATCACTGGTTTTCAATTAAAGTTTACAATAGTTTATTTATTTAAACAGATATTTTCATTTAATCATTTAAATCCTAAATTAGTATTCAGGGAGTGCACTGCCACTGTTCAATCCGGAGCAAGATCCACAACAGTCTCGCGAATCACAGTGGTGAGTCATATCTGGATAGGCTCAAACCTGGAATGGTCGCCATCCCGTTATCTGAATGATGAGATCAGATTTAGTGCCGGGGTGGTGACGTTTCCTGATGAATTTCTGAATGATTTTGCCATTAGTGCATGGTGATGAGTCTGTAATGAGAAACGTGAGTCTTTGGGTCTTTATACAATCAGAAAAAAAACAGTCGAACAAACAGAAACATAACAGATGATGCTCGATCACTATGTCAGTGAGAACAATGAATAATTAAACAATTGATACTTAATTATCAACTGCTTTAATCAATAACAAAAACTTCCTACATTCGATGATCAGCTGTTCACAGTTTCACTTCAGCGGTCAGTTCACGACCGATCATCTGTTCACCTGTACAAATTGAGGTTCAAGGTCATCACGAAACTCGCAATGGTAGTGCGCGAAGTGACGGTTGCCGGTTCACACGCCTGGACCTTCTTCAGCATTTCGAAGTTCTGCTAGGCTATTAGCATAACTTTCGCCAACAGGCCGTATATCGAACTCGCTGACTTCCTCTAACTCCTTCTTCCGGCTCTGAGATATTCGATCCTTCTCTGCCGATCCACTGTCACGACCAGCTCTATGTTCGGCTTGACATAACCAGCATCTTCTGCCGATTCGTTTCTTGCATGATCGCCATTGCCACGGCAATCACTAGAACGAGCCCCACCACATAAATTTTGTGCTCCATGGTACCGAACGGCTTGATGAGAAATCCCATGCTGAGGCCAAACGCGTTGCCTACGTATAAAATTACGAACGGCGCATCCGGTTGCTCCTGGAAGCTCTCGTACAGCATCACTGTAATCAAAATTATGCCATTGAAATTAAAAACTAAACTTATTCAGTCTAAAACATAATTATGGGTTCAAACACACTACTCGCAATTTATCTATAAACCAACGAATTATTCGCTCCATAATTAGAGGTGAGGTTTTCCGTTAGCCGATTGATTTCAAGTGACTGCTTTTAACAATGACTGCAGCAATGCTCAGCTGATTGAATAATGTCAGAATATTAAACTAGGTTAGTCATATACTAAACCATATACCACACGCATATCAAATGAAGGTATGGATCGAAAGGCGGCTCAAGGCAAAGTAACTACGTGTATTTCCCGTGAAACGGTCTCTAACCACTTCATATATACTGGGAAATCCCACAACTACGCCATCTACAGACAATATGACAGAATAGCAGCAGGACTGCCAAGCGGCCCTAACATCGAAACCCCAATTTAATAAGCAATATCTATGATTAATTCCACACTGTGGTCAGATATCATGGTGCTGATGCACAGTTCGAAAACAGGGACCATAGTAGATATTAATATCCGATGACAAAAACAGGGTACATAACAACTTGGGACGTGATGATCGATTGGATCTTTGGATCATTCTTTGAGAAAAAAATTAATGGATTGTTAAATTAAACATTAGGCCTGGGTTCTTCAAAATCTTTAAGAAGCTCAACCTCTTCGACACATAAAGCGCATGTAATAAATTTTTATGCCCAGAGAAAACATGGGGGCTGACTCTTCAGGCACCATTTCGAAAGTGAATATCAAAAATATGGCACAGTGTTTTATTTTTATGTATAAATATGCCTACGGATCGTGGCATATTTGCATGTGTCCAAAGAAGACCTTGCTAAGCCCTGCCTAATGATGCAGCTCTGCACCCATGCACCGCAGGTGCTCAAATATCATGGAGCTGTGGCCTGCTTAAATGGTCCCCCTAGGCGACTAAAAGCAAGTGGAAGGTGCTTACACTGCTTCAATTCAGTATCAGAAACTATATCTTAACGGCGATACGATAACTAGCAGTATGCCAGTAAACACGTAAGATCGGGGTTTATTTTAATGTATGAAAGTAGATCCGTTTGAAGAGATTCTAGTCATCGAATGATCCGGTCTGAAAAACCACATAAATATGTAGATATGTATATTTGTATATAAGCGCAAGTTTCTGGGCGAAACTTCACGTCAATAAGAGGTAACTATTATACTATAACGCTACACTACTGGCACATGACTAAAATAGTTTAACGTTTTTCCGGAATTTTATGAGTAGCATGGCATAATACTATACTAGGTGTATAATTGTAGTATAATATCATAATGGTAAAGTATAGCACCGCATTTGTTATATAATACGACCAGTGCTGTAATCTTCCACTAGTGACATAGGCCGTTCATAAACTGCTATTATAATATAATATTAGTAGTATATGAACAGCTTAGTTCAATGTTATACTGACGTTATATGAGTAACTTATTATAATTATGCTCGAGATGTATATCAGTGGTACATATCATATTGTATTACTGGCATATCACTGCCATAAAGTCATATTATAATAGTTATTTGTGAATAGTTTAGTACATGCCTATATTGCGTTATAAAATTGTAGAGTACAGTGCTACAGTGCTTGTTCAATATAGCATTATGTCCTGCTAATCGCATAACACCAATGCATTGCTGCACTCACGTATGACTATAAAATATACAATAGCAGAAATATGTGAATTGCTGAGTACGTGCCTAACAAAATTACCTGAATAAATGAATATTACTGTACACTAGTTGCACTGTACCAGCATAACACTGAGATACTGGCATATCACTAGTATAGTATTCAATTAGCTGTATATGAGTAATCTAGTCGAATTATTTATTGGCACTATAAGTTCAGTAGACGAATACATTGTTTCAGTTGTATAATATCTACATATGATCCTACTAAAACGGTTTATACTACTGTTACAATGTAATGTTAAGTAATATATCACAGCACTATATGAACATTTTGCGAACTCTGATATAAAATACGTTATCATTTCTCCGCGTTTTAACATAATAGCAACGAAGCAATTTGAACGATGATATTTTAATTATGTATGAAAAGGAAAATTGGTCATCGATGTTCTTCACTGGGCAATTTTGACGCCCTTCTTTTCATTAAGTTGAAAG